GCCGCCGCATTGAGTTGACGAGCCTCCCGCTTGTTGAGTTCTGCCTCCTTAATCCTAATTTCTTTCTTTTGAGTTGCTGTTTCTTTCTCCACTTGATCTAAGGTTATCATCCTCTCCATCTAACAAAAACATCAAAATTATAATAAAAATCACAAAACAATATCTTCTAGAATTCTGTTTTGTGATTCAAAAAACTATTGGATACAGAACAACTCCTAATCAATGGTGTAACTAAAAATTTATGTAAAGAAGGATAAAATTTAAAGTCACAATCTATTATATAAAATTGTAGAGTTTCAGTCTAAATTAATAAAATTTTTTAATTGAGTTAAAATTATTATTTATACCTGTTAATCATAAATAATTTTTAATGATATTTTTTTACTTCTAATTCTCATTTAAAAATGATTAAAAGCACATATTAAAATAACAACTTAAAATACAATCCAAATAAACAATTATTGAAACAAAAAATAAACAAAGTAATGATTTTTAGATCATCATTCAATAAAACTTTAATTTTTCTAATTTTTTATATTTCTCATTTTTTTTCAACATCATAAAAGTAGTATACCATGAATAAAGAGATAAGAAAGTGAATAATATGAAATAAAATATTTAAAATATATATAAAATAAAAGTTAAGCATTAAAAATAAAAAAAAAAACTGTTGAAGATCAAAACAAGTAGCTTAACCAAAAATTAAAGTATTAATTAATATGTTAACTTTTCAAAAGTTTAGAGGACTTGTGCCCTTTCATATTCTGGGTCCGCTAGACTCCTAATATCAGAGGATTTACGTTCCTTAATACCATGTGAGGTGACATTTTTTTGTATTTTAAATCCAAAATCATTTTAAAAAAGATGAGTGGTTATCAACTAAATCATTAAAATAATTAAGTAAAAAAATTAAAATTATATTATTTTAATAAAATATTATAAAAACACTTAAATTTCGTGATCAGATAAATGTATATCTCATCATAAAAAATATATCCTTAGCTTTAAAATTGGGATTCAAATCTTCCTTCAATTTGTAACTGGTTAAAAAAAAAATCCAAAATCATTTAAAAAACAAACAAACAAATAGTATTATTAAAACCTTCTCATGGAGGGTGGCCTTGGTTTTCTCCAGCCCCGCAACAGCGGAGGCCCCGACGTTGGCCGCTGTCTCTTTGACCGCCTGCATTATTTTTCATTCCGTATAATTCACCCCTTGGCCCTGACATTCGTTTTAAAAACCAGAACAAGTCCATTTTGGGGTGCTTGCTTCCACGTGCACAGGAGAAATACAGGTACGTACTTGGTGATTGCGAAGGGGCAGGGTTTTCCACCCAGGACGACACGTTTTTTAAGCAGTTGGACAGCGTGCGAGTTTTTGTAGTTAACGTTTAAGAATTGACTTTTGACCGGTCAGAATGACGAATCTCGGAAAAAGACAAGGCTGTTGCAGCGGTTGGGTTCGCACGCGAACAAAATTTCCGAGTTCTAAGGGTTGAAAGTTTTGGAGCACCACTAAAATATA